AATCTCTTTACAGCCTGTACCTGGGGTTTTCCCATTTCAGACCATGTGTTATTCCCTAGAGTATATTATTCTTTGTTTGAGTTGTTGCCTTACAGTTTCAACCATATTGATTTAAATTTTAAATTTTATTTATTTTGACTATAAATTTCTGATATCATTTTAATTTTTGAAATCATTTTGTTGTTGCTATTTTTGAAAGATGTYGATAGAGAAGACATGCTGATTGCTTATGAAGAGCATATCCGACTSCTTGAACAAGAACATGAGGCAGAGAAACAAAGAGAAAAGAACCGAACTCGACGACAGCAAAGAAAAAATAGGGATGGTTTTCTGGTATGTAACGACACTAGATAATTTCATTTTCATTTCAAATATGTGTGTTTTTTTTTTTTTTGCAGAGATTATTATTGAACAACTCATTCATGGTATAGTCTTCATTTTCAAGAAATAGTTTTAAGAAAGTATATTTTTCTACTTTCATTTCACTTTTTTCTATTTTGCACCTTAATCTSGTCGTAATATATTTGAGAAAAACATCATGCCCTTGGCAGGTCTTGAACCACTTCAAGTCGGTATTCTACGTGACATGTTACTGCTTCATTACATGGATCCACCACGCTGGAAACTCAGCCAGACAATAAGGTGTAGGGCAACCATGGGTATCCCGGGCAATATTAYGTACTATATCTCTATGTGCAGGTTATGTGCGGTTTATGATTAATATTATTGCTGTTATTATTATTATAATTTAAAAACAATATTGCAATATTCGCCCCAATKTCATTGTTTATCATTTATTGTTGGATACTTTACAATGCTAGGTTTTACTTGATGAGCTCCAAAAGAAGGGTAAGCTACACTCCATGTCACTGTGGTGTGATCTCTATCCTACGATAAGTGCTGATGTCAGGTTCACTAACATGTTAGCACAATCAGGTAATTACTATTATTGGTGTCTGATAGTTTCGCCTACGCATAGTTTTGCCTACTGAAGTTTGCCTACACATCAAATACATTATAAAACATATCTGTGAAAGATGAAACAGTAAATATACTGTCAAAATGGAAAAAAATAGTTATTGTTTAGAGAGAGAAAGTTTTATATGAATATTTTAAGAACAGAACTACACTTTTGAGTTTAACATACATGTTTCAGCAGTGACCTCTGCCATCATCAGTGGATGATCAGATAAATATTTCACACTACCATATGTAGGTTCTTTCTCGCAGCAAGTGCAAARACGTTTATGACGCATTTCTAAACGCTACAGTGAAAAAGTCAATATAACCTTAGCTTGCACTTTGCTTAAAATAGGTAGTAGGATCTTGAAGGGCATATACATGTATATCTTGATTTCTGGTGTCAGGCAGTAGAAATAGTCAGAATCATACATCAGTACTTTAAGAACTATTTTGACATGTTTTGACTTGAAATATTCTAATTTATATTAATTGCCCCCMWGTCAACTTCAAAAAGTCACATGATTGATAGTAAGCAATTAAAGTTTTGTTCTATTACAGGATCTACACCTTTGGATCTTTTCAAGTTTCACGTAGAAGATTTGAAAGCAAGATTCAGTGATGAAAAAAAGATAATCAAAGAAATAATGAAGGTAGGATACTACCCTTGCTGCTGTAATAGACCATTTTACCCATACGGCGGCCATCGTGAATTCTGTTTTAATCAAGACATTATGGGATGCCGAGGGGACAGCTATTGGAACATTTATAGACTGCACAGCTGTYAGGRTGWYTTTTTGTATARATTCTTTACCCTTTTCAATGAGAAGCAYATCTTAAAAGCAATTAAACTTGCTGGTAGAGGAAACAATTAACAACAACCACCAAGGCTAAATTATTTGAAGAAAGTAACCCTGCCGCTTTATGCTTTATAAATGTGTTTGCTCCCATGGCGTCCCTTTATTCAAGATGGCTGCCATATCAGTTAAAATGTCTATTGAATTGTTAAATTTTCTCAGCAAGGATGCATTGCATTAAAGGTAAAGTACCTATATTTAACATCGGTAGTTCCTTCAGTCCAAATTCAACTGCTATCAATGGAAGCCAACGGTGCGCACTTTACCCCCTCTCTCCATCAGTGCTCTGTTTTAAGAGTATTTAAAGCTGAAGCTACACGGATTAGAGAGAAGTCAAAACAGACGTGGAGATCCCAAGGATCGAACCGTGGACCTCTAAAGGTCACGCACTAACCAAAGCTAAACCTGCACCTAGTACTGCTTGCATGCAGGTTCATTCCAAATTCTTGTATTTTAGTGAAGCATGGATGGTGTAGTGGTGAGAACACTTGCTTGCCTCTCGACAATGTTACTTGGGTTTGATGCCTATTCATTCATGTTACTTCTCATGTACAACCCGCAAGCAAAAAAATGTTTCGCTAGGAAATGATATGGGGTTTGAAATGGGAAAACGTCCAAACTGAAAAGGTCTATCGTAGTGTGGTGGAAGAAGAGTGGCTCTGTGAAACCACTGTTAAATACTACCATTTTTTAAAATCTTTTTGACAGGATAACAATGTGACGGTGGATACAGACAGCAGCTACAGTGATTTTAGTTGCAAAATCTTGGCAGATAAAAGAAGCAATACCCTGGATACAGGCAACATTAAAATGACTTTTAACCATGTAAGCCAACCAATATCTATTTGTAGAGCTGTTTCCATGTTTATTTCCCTTAGTTACGCCACGCAGGCGCGACAAGTATAACATTCTACATCGGCAGAGTCTAATTTTCTCTCTTCCCCAAAACAAAAGGAAAATAGGCTCTGCTATCAGGGAACATGTTTATRTAACCTTATCTGGAATTTTGGCTTCTATCAGTCATTATAAATGATTGTATTTGTATATAAATACCTAGTTTATGGAAAAGAAAAAGAAAAAGTGCAGTGTCTRTGGTTGTCTGGGTGGCAACTAGCACACTAAAACCTCGTCTTGTATATTGATCATTTTAAACCTTTTTATTTTGTAGCTGATAGAGAAAGCTGAAGCTCGTGAAAGGGAAAGGCAAAAGAAAGAAGAAAAAGAGGTAGGTTGCCATGGGTACTGTACCACAGCACAAGGTGTACCACCATAGTCATAATTCTAATGTGGCACTACAAAAATGATTTTACAAGAAGCTTGTATAAAATATGGTATTTAAAGCCAGTTGCTGATTTTCACACTTAAAACTTGTATCATAGCAAAAAAAGAAAGAAAGTGCTTTCAAACAGATGCTGAAGGCTTCATCTCCAGCTATTGAATCAACTACTACATGGGACGAGGTAGAGTTGTGTAGTTTTTTTGTTTTGTTTTTGAGTTCCATCATTTGTGCTGTCTTGTCCAGTTCATCTTATTTTTGTTGTGTGTTTATTTAATATGTTTTTATTGTATTTCGCGTTTGTGTGTTTATCCCCATGTTATTTGCATGTTTCCTCATTTATTTTGGTTATTTTTGTTGTTCATTTGTCTATTTGCGTTCATGTTTATTTATTTATTTCTTTATTGTATTTTTCATTTGTGTGCTTAYTTGTATGCTTGTTCATCAGGGCCCAGTTGTATAAAGCCTGGATAGCACTATCCGATGGATAAATCTTATCCAGTGGATAAATTTATTGGATAACAGCATCGACTTATCCACTGGATAAGGATTTATCCGCCGGATAGCRCTATCCAGGCTTCGTACAACTGGGCACAGTTCTTCTATGTGTTCTTGTGGCAAGAGTTTAGCCTTCCTTTCTCATTCCCTTACATCTTTTCAGAGTCTCAAACATATTTAATAATATTCCAGGTGAGAGAGAGGTTTTCCAGTGAGCCTGCTTTCATGGCTTTCACTGTAGAAGCTGAACGTATGAAACTCTTCCATGAACATAAAACATCGATAGAGGTAAGACATGCCTGTTAAATATACCGCCTTCTACACTGGGAATGAATTATCACAGCTTTAAAGGATATGATAGACTGGCATGTAATGAGTAGATTAATCTTGACACATTAATCTTGAATATTTTGCAGGCCTGYTCACATCATCATTCATCAAAATCACACAAGAAAAATAAGAAGAATAAGAAACATCGTAAAAGATCTCGGTCATTATCAGCAAGTGGGGTGAGTAAGCAACTTCAAASAGTATTCCAATTTATTTATTCACACGACTAATTTTATAGGTTATCAGGTCCCTAGGTCGCCAAGTTACTAGGTGACCAGATTTCCAGGGCAACAGGTTACTGGGTCATCAGTTTCCAGGGCAACAGGTTACTGGGTCACCAGATTTCCAGGGCAACAGGTTGCTGGGTCACCAGATTTCCAGGGCAACAGGTTGCTGGGTCACCAGTTTCCAGGGCAACAGGTTGCTAGGTCATCAGATAATTTTTAAAGTCATTTTTGTTTTGTGTTATTTAGGAGTCATCTCATTCAGAGGATGAGTACGGTAAAGACAAAGARAAGGAAAAAGAGAAGGAAAAAGAGAGATCATCTCACAAAAAGAAGCGACACAAGAAGTCAAGGTCAAGGTCAAGAAGTGCATCTAGTCTCTCAGAATCAGGTAGTGGCATTGTTATTGGTTGAAATGTTTCGTATTGATGGGGGAGTTAGCTGCACTGTAACATTGAATCAGTGTTTAAACCACGTTCTAATACAAAAAMCTTTGTCCTTGAAAATGGAATTTTTGTGCTTGAAAAGTGCTTAAAAATCCTTGAATTTTGAAACGAAAATGTAGCACGAACCCTGCTAGTGTTGATAATAAAAGAATTTTGGAATAACGGAGTCTTGAGCAACGACTAAACTGTTTTTTATTCTTCCTGCAGATATSGAAAAAGAGAGCAGCTCCAAAAGAAAAAAGCACAAAAAGGTATGTTASAACTTAAGCAATAAACTGCCCAGTTTTCTGTCTTACTGAATGCATGGTGATATTTGTTTATTTGTGCAGAAATCCAAGAAAAARAGACATCATTCGGTAAGAACTGATGCCACAGCGGTGAGTGTGTTATCGTACATCAAGGTTTTATGCATGTGACAATATCATCGATGTTTATGCTAATTGTCTATCTAGGGGTTTAAACCTTTCCCTTTTTGTGAGGATTAAAATCTTTCTCGAGATTCTAGTTTCCTCTTAAAACCTTCAAACTTTGACGATACTTGATTCATAAGAGAGAGAGAACCACGTATCTTTTGCACATTTTTCCTACACTCGTTCTTAATGTTGGGGGGGGGGGGGGGGG